CGACGTTAGCGCGTGTCGGGCGTATGTGACCCGCCTTGCTCTCCCGCGTGGCATGATTAAAAGTTCAACGAACGGCGCGCGATTCGCGATATAGTTCTCTCTCTTCATTGATCACTGCGTGACGATGAGACGATTGACGGTGATGAGTCACGAGGTGCAGTGCGTGAAGCGGCGGTGGTACTTCGGAAAGTCGATCCCGCGTGGAGACGAGGCCCACTGAGGATTGCGTTAATTACCGTCGAGAAAGTACCGTTCGCGCTATATGTATTCGCACGCGAAGCGTAAAGCGTGTGCATTATTCGCATTGCTCGCCGCCGATTCCGTCGACATTCTTTCTTTCCCAACGGGACTTTTCTAAGAGACGGTCGAGTTGGAGATCCGACCGATTCGCTTCACTCTCAGCTATTAGACGCTACTATTAGTGGACTTTCGCGGATAGGTGTAAAACTATAATTCATACGGTGAAAGTCTGCTACGTGCGGATCTACTTTTTTATTTGGAGATAACAAGGGTCTTCATCTTTCTACATTTCCGATAACGGTGTTTGTTATGTTTGTGCAATGTAAAACGATGCAAATTTGTGATCTTTACTTTAATGTGTCACATTAATATAAATTCTTTTTAATTGCGAAGAATAAGAACAGTATTGATTGGAAAATTAAAACTATTATAATTATTACTAATGTCTGGAATTTAATTTTTAACGTTGGACGATTACTCGTTAATTTTACAAGTTTTTTTTTCTTCGCGTGACACGTTTTTAATTCTATTAGCCGTAGAATTCTACTCGTAATTGATTAATGTTGCAACTTGTGATTATTAAGCCTGTAAGTAATACAGGAAAATAATTCTTGGTTTGCGCCATTAACACGTTTATAATATTCCAAGTATTATAACGTTAGTTATTGTTTAGTATTATGAGTCTCATAGTCCCGCGAAACAAAGATTCTGCTATTGTTTTTAAGCGAGATGTCTTGCGTGCGTACTTTTCAATTTCTCACCGGCTAACAAGGGCGATTTTTCTTAATTTACGTGTAGAAATTATGATTATATTTAACCTTCCGGTAGTCACACCTTTCCGCATCTGACGAGCGCGATGTACACAACGATCTGTCATCAAGGTGGTACGTTTATTTCGTTTTTTTTTTTATAACATTACATAACGAGAAAATTTTTTCGATGAACCACGGTCTCGTTAAAGCTGTGAATATGGAAAAATATGATATAAATATTTGAAATAAAATTCGATAAAAAGTATAAAAACAGCAGTTTGAGATTCTTTAGAATTTAGAGACAAGTTGGAATTTCACACTGAAAAAAAGTCTACTAAATTTTATTCCTTTTATAATAGTACTAAGTAAATATTTATTACTTACATAAATATTTACTCAATAAAAAGTCAAATTAATAATTTTGGTATTAAATAAATATATGTTTGCCTTAAATATTTATTTAAAACTATTCGAACAAATATTTATTAAAACTTAGTTGTTTTAATATTTCAGTTATGTCATGATTTATATTTTTCATTAAGGCTCTTGTCCACTATACTATCTCAGAGTTTGACGTCAAAAGCGAGGAAACATATTTCTATAATAAAAATTCTTGCAAACTATATTTGAATAGAAACATTTTTCAATAAAACAACACTTGCAACAGATAGAATAAACTGTTTAAAATATACCAAAATTTATTATTTTGGGGACAAATTAAATCACATTTATTTCTAGATATTATTAATTTGACATTTTGTCATAGCTGTGAACACAGCTTATTTTGTTTGTGGTTATGTATAATTCATTTCCGGACGTATGAATATTCATTAATTAATATAACAAAAGGAGAATTTTCGTTTTTACAAACCGATTCTATTGATTGTAAATGAATTGTGCATTAAAACGTATTTTCATATTAATATATTATTCGCGTACTATGTTCTTGCTTCTGACGTCACAATTTAAGACAATAAAAGAATGTAACAAGAACTTTAAATCAACAATAAAACATCTAATTTTTAATTAAAACTAACGGGTTCTAGTTCGTTAAGTTTCATTAAAAATGAGGGAAAGATCTTCTTGTACTTGGAATTGAAGGCGCTTTCTTTTCGAAGTATATACGCGAATTAATTTCCTCACTGTTATTCCGGAGCGTCTTAGCACTTACATAGAGAGTAGACAAGCAACTGTTGTTAATTCGGTTGAACGTGAGCGGAATGACAGAGAGCCGTCGGCCGAGTAATTGTATACAATTACATCATTTGTTTGCTTTCTGGCCGGCCGCAGGTCGTGAGAACGAGGTCTAACTGAGCGTTTAACGGCGACGAATAAATTTGTGTGCACGTCAAGTGAACTCATAACGCCCATATGTATACACATGCATTGATGGTAATTAATCAGTTCGAGTCGACAGCTGAAATGGCCGGTCTCGTGGATTCATCGTTTCTTCAGGCTATTTATTGGATTATTTATAGCTTATTTATGTTTCGCGGACGTTCGAATGCCGAATATAGTGATGCTAATTAGCTTGTTAATTTCTCGGAATTATTAACTCGTAGCGCATGAATGTTAATTAACTGGAGAACCAGGGAAAATTAATCTTGTCAAAAAAATGGCACGTATGCAGTCAGAAATATATTAAGATTATTATAAACTTATAA